ATTTCACATATATTCTTATAAATTTATTTAAATTAAATAAAGACTTTTAAAATAAAAAAATATATTAATATACTAAAAGTATTACGTAATATTAAAAGAAAAATAAATTACACAGTAACAATATTACATTAAGCAAATTCGATACACAAAGTGACACAAAAAGTAAAGTTACATAAGCACATTATTCTCATTAATATTTCTTAAAAGTATTAAGTCTTTAACATTTTTTAAATATCGTTTGTAATAGTTTTTAATGTACGTTCTAATCACTTATAAAAGTGTTATGATCTTATATAGTTATGACAAATATAAGGACTATAATGTAAAATACAATTTGAAAAAGATTATCATTGGAGAGGAACACCCTCATATGTACTTCAAATATGAAGTGTTGTATATTTCAAAAATGAGTAGTTTTAAAGAGGTGCTCTAAGCTGAAAGGCCATGATTCTATTTTTTTCGGTGCGATACAAATTATGGTTAGAACCATTTATATCTTAAACGGAAAGAATATCTATTGTTTTCGAGGTAAAAGAATGATTACACATAAATATATATATATATATATATATATATATATATATAAAATTATACACACACTAAGACCCAAAAATACAAAACGGATATTCATCTAGTAATTATATATTATAAAAAAACGCTTCGCTCTTACTAGCTAGAAAATCACATCTTTTTTGTTTTTTTAATTCTAAAACGTTACACTTTTTCCCATTTGCTGCAAAAAAAACCCTCTACCAACCGTTACCATATCACACTCGAATCAATCGAGCAAGTTTAGTATAAAAAAGATACACTCCATAGTAGATTAACTTAAACCATATAATTTTTTTTTTGATAATACAGTATATATTTCGTTACTGGAACTAGCAAAATCATGTATATTTGTTTTTTAACCATATAATTATAGGCCGGTGGTTTGCATATTTAATTATTAATTTCCTCGTACCAGAGAACCTTGTAGCTTATATAGATATCATTATATTCAAATTTGAATTGATCAAATAAAACTATTTTCATATCTTTTTACCATTCAGAAAATATAGTTAAATTTAGTGTACGACTACTATTATATTTGAAATTCGTGGAATCTTTATGATAAATTGATGAGAGTAAGAACACAAAAGTGTTTACGAAGAAGTATATTAGACTCTCATAAGAATAAAGATACAAGGAACATTCTCTTATATAGAGATGTGATTAATCTAGGTTTCCTAATCTAAGATAAATATAAATGTAAATAATATATTTAGAGATAATGTCAAATATCCTAAACTTCAATATTAACATTTATCTTCTTGCCATATTTTGGTCTTGTCATCTCGACCGTCGATCTCGGTCGCTCTTCGCTTCTCCATCTCCCAATACTTTAAAAACTTTTGAACTGTATATTTTTCTAACCTAAAAATAAGTGGAATTCTACACATAAATTACCAAACAGTTTTCTTAATGATATGTCAAAGGTTTTTAGAGCAAAGATCGTAATCTTTCGGACGACCGGAATAGGACTGTATTTTTAATCATTTTCCCAAACAAATTTAACTGTGGTTTCTTCCTCTCTTTAGGATCACTAACCCAATCAATTTTTAATCAAATTGCCAAAAATTATTTAATAGTTTTTTTTTTTTTGTCGTCTAGATTTATTATTAATTGCAAATTATGAGAACTGTTACATAAACGATTCTACAACTGACAATTCCTTCCGACCCTTATTAGATCTACGACAGACTACACTTCCTTCTTCATAATCTTGATGAATACCTTCAATGATCCATGACCTGGCGACACTTCCTTCTCTGCGTAGAATCCTGGCGAACGGCTATAATTGTACATCGTTGGAGATCTCTTGCACACTTGCCTCCATTAATCTGCAAATTTGTTAATAAATCGCAATATCTGAGACTCGAACCCCAGACCTCTTGGTGTAGAAGCATTAATCAACCCTTGGTCAACCAATGGGCCAATGGGGCTTCCACATTTAATAGTTATCTATATATGACATTACTAAAAATTTGTTACCACCAAAATGACATATTCTAATTTAAGACCATTACTTTTTTTTTTGTTTTTTTTTTTAAACATTACTACGCTACTACGAAATTTCAGTATGATTTATCAGGAATCAGTGCTCGTATAACCGCATCTAAATAATTAGACAAACTAGTTATCACTCACTTAGAGAATTATCAACAATAAAAATCACGTTTGTTTGTTTGTTTTTTTGACGTCATAACGATTATGATTGTTAAAAATAGCTCATAGTATGAATTTTGTTTCATGTAGGTTTTTTTCTTATGATCGGACGTTTCATGTAATTTCATATATTGATAAAAAACAATAATAAGAAGAAAAAAATAAGTGGAAGAAAACAAAATTAATGAGGTTGTAGTAGAGTCACGAAATGGGGTCTGCAGAAAGAAAAGAAAAGACTGCAAGTTCGAATTATTCCTTCTTCCGTGTGTGTTATCATTTGCTTTTATTATTTTCAAGATATATACATTTACTAGTATTTATTTTCTTACATGTAAAAATTTTTATATGTAAATTTATATAAATGTATGTATAAATACATACACTGCCTTAGTGGTACTAAACGGACCACAAAGAAAGTGGCCATCAAGCTTAAGCAGCTGCAATAAGCTGACACATAAAGAAATCTGTCTATACATATCCAATAAAATCTAATTCAATAAATTATGTACAAATGGTCACAAAAATAGTAAAGGATGTAATCATGCAAAGTCGTGGTCAAGTCGTTTTCTCTATTAATTAAGCCCAATTTTGAGGTATACAATTAGGAGCAATTGGGAATGTAGTACTTTAAATGATAATGTTAATTTGCAGTTGTAACAATTTTTTTAAAAAACTACTAATAATAGTCTTTTATGTGATAAACATATGATAGTTTCTAACATCAAAAGTCCATTTTTTTCTTTTAAATAGATGGCGTAAACGTACAATTAAGATTGGATTTAACTCTACAACTAGGTTGAGCCAAACGGAGAAGATGACAACGGTGATGGTTGATAACTTGATATACACAACTAACGTTGATATTTGATTAGACAAGTTTGTGAACGGCAATGCATCGATTAGCTTCTATCAAACCTTTTGTTATGAAACAATAATATTTGACAACTCAAATGCAGAAGATGGAACCATTTTTTTACAAAGTGAAGCTTTTCGTGTTTACTTTTAAGAGACAATATTCATATTTCTCATTTGAATTATTAACATTTTTGTTCATATATAACTTTTAATTCGTGACACCTAAATCATAATCCTAGTATTTTAATTTGTTACCTCTTTTTTAAATCTCGACGGATCTGATAAAACTTTAAACTCATATAATAGCCACTTATGTCGATCGATTTTTCTAGAAAAAGCCGTATTCATTGATGTCGACAATCGACTCTTTGTTAAATTTCTCAAAAAAGAAAGAAAAGAGACATTCAATTGGGTTACACATATTAGAATAACCGCTGGTTTATCCGAAACGGATGTTTTTTTGTTTCTTTAGGTTTTAATGAGATGCCCTGATGCCATGTTTTAGGTTATTATAGGGTTTCAATCCATCCTCCATCCTCATTCCATTATATCCCTTTCAACAAATAGAGAATGTTCTTCGGCCACTTATCCAAAACAGTAAATTGTGACATCTAAATCATAATCCTAGTACTTTAAATTGTTACTTTTTTTTAATCTATAATAATCACATATGTCGATCGATTTTTCTAGAAAAAACCGCATTCATTGATGTCAACAATCGACTCTTTGTTCAATTTCCCAAAAAAAAAAAGCAAAGATCTCTAAAAACTAAATAAGAAAGAAAAAACGACATTCAATTGGGCTATACACATTAGATTTTAATGAGGTGGCCCGATGCCATGTTTCGAGTTGTTACATGGTTTCAATCCATCTCCCATCCTCCATCCTCTATCCTTATTCCATCATATCCCTTTCAACAAATAGAGAATGCTCTTCGGCAACTTATCCAAAACAGTAAGCATTATGTGTTCGGTGTTTACATCATGTATATAATCCGTTTGTCTTGTTCCCGTATGTTAAAAACAAGATTTTCCATATAATGATTGTGCATATAAAACCGTCTAGAGTGTCTTTTGGAACTAGTAAAACCGTATGTCATATCGTTTATCTAGGATTTTTTTTTTTAAATTGCTGTTTCTCAATCATAAGATAAAATTTAATAATAAGATTAATGATCATTAACAACCATAATTAAATAATTGCTGCCATAAATCAAACACATTGTGCTTATCAAAAAGAAGAAATTTGTACTTAATGAAACATTCATTATTAGCAAAGTGTAAAAAACCAAAGAAAAACAAACTTTATTCCTCAAAAAAAAATAAAAAAAGTTTATTAGTAAAAAGTGAAAGAAGAGTAAAGAAAAAAGAGAGAGGCCTGAGGCTGCGGGTGGAGAGAGAGAAAGAAAGCCTCTTTACACGTGATTTAAAAAGAGACCAAAACCCCAAAAGCAAACCTCTTTTGCATGCGTCCTTAAAAGACATAAATTTTCTCTAAAATTTCTACATCACAAATCAAAATCTTTTTCTCTCTTCTTCTTCATCATCATCTTCTTCATCATCATTCTTACTCTCTCTTACTTCTGAGATTTTTTCTCCACATTGAGAGGAAAGCTATCTTCTTTAGCGTCACTCTTCTTCTTCATTGGTCGGTGAGTGTTTATTTTTTACTGTTTTTTTTTTGTTTGTTTAATAATATAGCGGACGGGTCATTTTCTCTCCGTAGCAATAAATTCACATTATATTAGTATAAAAAATAAAAATTTCATTCTCTTGGAGATATTGATATTTCCACTGCTCTTTTCGATGTTTATTCCTTCACTTTGTTCACTTGCTCTTAGTTTTATTTTATCTTTCTCTCTCTCTCTCTCTCTTCAAATTCACATCAAAAAATAAAATAAAAAAGCTTCGATTTTTCGATAACATCTTTGTAATTATCTGTTTGGGTTTTCTCCGGGATCTCATTTTCCGGTTTCAAATAGAGACAAAAGATTAAAGCTTTCTCCGGTTTTGTCTTCTGGGTATTCTCAATTTCCCCCATTTCACTTAAAACCTTTAATCTCTGTTTCTTGTTTTTGTCTACTGAAAAACAAAACATCAAAGGGTTTTTGTTTCTTGATTGGTTCCTTTATTTCTTGGTCTTTACAGTGTTTTCTTCTATTTTCATGGATTCTTGTCTCTACTATATCTATCTATGTATGTATAGTCCTCAGACTCTGTTTTAATCTCTTTTACCTCTCTGTTTTTTTTCTGAAACTTTGTAATAGAAGAAACAAGAACCAAACACATGTAAAAAAATGTTGGATTTTTTTTTTACTTCACTGTTTCAAAGTTTTGATTTTTTTGATTTTTAATTTTAACCCAAAACACCATCATCATGGTTTTGTTTTTCTGGATTTTCTCCATTTAATGCAAATCTGACAATTATTTTTAATTGTTTTTTGTACTTATTTTCTTTCATCCTCATGATTTTGCTTGCAGGTAGAATAAGGCCAAGAAGGGATCAGTTTTAGTTTTGTTTCATTCTTTTTGTAGTGAAGAAAAAGAGTTTTCAATATCCAAAACAAAAATGCCGATTAGGCAAATGAAAGATAGCTCTGAGACTCACTTAGTCATCAAAACCCAACCTTTAAAGAACCATAATCCTAAAACCGTCCAAAACGGCAAAATTCCTCCTTCTCCGGTGACTACTCCGGCGACGGTGACTCAGAGTCAAGCTTCTTCACCTTCACCACCGTCGAAGAATCGTAGCCGGAGGAGAAATCGTGGTGGGAGAAAATCTGATCAAGGAGATGTTTGTATGAGACCTAGCTCTCGTCCTCGTAAACCACCACCGCCGTGTCAAACCACTTCCGCCGTCGTCTCCGCCTCCACCGCCGGTGAGATTGTTGCCGTGAATCATCAGATGCAGATGGGTGTTCGTAAAAACTCAAACTTTGCGCCAAGACCTGGATTTGGAACACTTGGTACTAAATGCATCGTTAAAGCTAACCATTTCCTCGCTGATTTGCCTACCAAGGATTTGAATCAATATGATGTAAGTTAATTAGAAAAAGTGAAGATTATTTACGAAAGTTTCAAACTTTAGACGATTTCCTGAAAAAGCTTTAAAATTTAATGAAGGAGAGAGAGAGAGAGAGTTAGGTTTTAATGTTGTTCTTATTGCTGATTTGGGTCCATTGACATTTGGTTAATTTTTTTGCAGGTTACAATAACTCCTGAAGTGTCATCAAAGAGTGTAAACAGAGCTATAATTGCTGAGTTAGTTAGACTTTACAAAGAGTCTGATCTCGGGAAGAGACTTCCGGCTTACGATGGCCGGAAAAGTCTTTACACTGCCGGAGAACTTCCTTTTACTTGGAAGGAGTTTACTGTTAAGATTGTTGATGAAGATGATGGTATCATCAATGGACCTAAGTAAGTGTTTTTCAGCTTTGGGGTGGTTTTTGTTTTTGTGTGTTTTATATTTGAATTTGACACATTTTGGTTTGTAGAAGGGAGAGATCATATAAGGTGGCTATTAAGTTTGTTGCACGGGCAAATATGCATCACTTAGGCGAGTTTCTAGCTGGTAAACGGGCAGATTGTCCGCAAGAGGCGGTGCAGATTCTTGACATTGTACTCAGGGAATTGTCGGTTAAGAGGTTTTGTCCCGTTGGAAGATCTTTCTTTTCGCCTGATATTAGAACACCACAGCGACTCGGTGAAGGGTTAGAGTCATGGTGTGGGTTTTACCAGAGTATTAGACCAACTCAAATGGGTTTATCACTAAATATCGGTAAAAATTCACTTAAGAGATTGTTACAGTTTTGGTCTTATTTATAAGTCACCCCAATCTTAATGTTATTCTCCTTGCTTTGTAGATATGGCTTCAGCTGCATTCATCGAGCCTCTTCCGGTAATAGAGTTTGTAGCACAGCTTCTTGGAAAGGATGTCTTGTCGAAGCCATTGTCTGATTCTGATCGGGTTAAGGTATAAGATTCTTTCATCGTACGTATTATCTCTTTTCTTGAGTCCTTAAATGTTCTCTCAATAATGTTTTTTTCTTGGGCGAATTTGTAACAGATTAAGAAGGGTCTCAGAGGAGTGAAAGTAGAGGTTACTCACAGAGCGAATGTAAGGAGGAAATACCGTGTTGCGGGTTTAACTACTCAACCTACAAGAGAGCTAATGTGAGCATTTTTTTTCCTAATTACTCTCTGATCAGTAAGGCTGGTTTCATCAAGATTAATCAAGTTTTCTGGTTTATATTCTTAGGTTTCCAGTTGATGAGAACTGTACGATGAAGTCAGTTATTGAGTACTTCCAAGAGATGTATGGATTCACGATCCAGCACACGCATTTGCCATGTCTCCAAGTTGGAAACCAAAAGAAGGCAAGCTATTTGCCAATGGAGGTAAACTGTAAACCGTAGTTTTTTTGTTTGTTTCAAGACTTCACATTTCCATTCTTGGCTATTTTTGCTGATTCATTTTGAATGTAGGCATGCAAAATTGTCGAGGGACAACGGTACACGAAAAGGTTGAATGAGAAGCAGATTACCGCTCTCTTGAAAGTTACATGCCAAAGGCCAAGGGACAGAGAAAACGATATTTTGCGGGTAATTTTATACTCATGTATCTTTTATGGTTCTTTGTCAGTTAGAAATGAGGACTAATCTTGGTGTAAAAAATGTTTTAAAGACGGTCCAACACAACGCATATGATCAAGATCCATATGCAAAGGAGTTTGGCATGAACATAAGCGAAAAGTTAGCTTCTGTTGAAGCTCGGATTCTTCCAGCTCCATGGGTAAAACACTAAACAAATCTCTGAATTGTCTCAAACTAAGAGAATACTGTTATGCTAATTCGTCTCTCTTGGCTTGCTTCAGCTTAAGTATCACGAGAACGGGAAAGAAAAAGATTGTCTCCCGCAAGTCGGTCAGTGGAATATGATGAACAAGAAAATGATCAATGGGATGACGGTGAGCAGATGGGCCTGTGTTAACTTCTCACGCAGCGTTCAAGAAAACGTTGCTCGTGCATTTTGTAATGAACTTGGTCAGATGTGTGAAGTCTCGGGCATGGTAATAATATTCGTCCTTTTTCTTGCTGAATTGTTTGAAATCTCTTTAACTGGAAGTGATTCTTATCAGAAAGCTTTTCTTCATTTACTATTGTAGGAGTTCAATCCAGAACCCGTGATCCCAATATATAGTGCGAGGCCCGATCAGGTCGAGAAAGCTCTAAAGCATGTTTATCACACTGCAATGAACAAAACCAAAGGCAAAGAGTTAGAGCTTCTGTTGGCAATTTTACCTGATAACAACGGTTCACTTTATGGTATTATTATTATTATTTCGACATCCATAAATCTTAACTTTTTTCGTCTTCTTGGTTATGGTTATGATGAAAACGTAATGCTTCTTGTAATCTCAGGTGATCTTAAGAGAATCTGCGAAACCGAGCTTGGTTTGATATCTCAATGTTGTCTCACAAAACATGTGTTCAAGATTAGCAAACAGTATCTGGCAAATGTATCCCTTAAAATCAATGTCAAGGTGAATACTTTTTACTGCTGTATCAAATATTTTCGATTGTTATAGTATTATGAATCTCAGACCTTTCTATGTTGTTTTCAGATGGGAGGAAGGAACACAGTTCTTTTAGACGCCATAAGCTGTAGAATTCCTCTGGTTAGCGATATACCGACAATTATATTTGGCGCAGATGTGACTCACCCAGAGAACGGGGAAGAGTCAAGCCCTTCAATCGCTGCTGTATGGATTATACAAAATCTCAATCATACACTTTTATCAAGTAGTGGTACGCTGAAATTCATTTGACTCGGTTTTGTTTGTGTTAGGTTGTTGCTTCTCAAGACTGGCCTGAAGTCACAAAATATGCTGGTTTAGTTTGTGCTCAAGCTCACAGGCAAGAACTTATACAAGATTTGTATAAAACATGGCAAGATCCTGTACGCGGAACTGTTAGTGGCGGTATGATCAGGTAAGAAACCGCAATATTTCAGTTTCTGTAGTTTGATTTTATCGATGTATCTCAAGGTTTTTTGTTTGCTTTCTACAGGGACCTTCTGATCTCATTTAGGAAAGCAACAGGGCAGAAACCGCTTCGAATTATCTTTTACCGGTAGGTTTATCTAAAAGAATTCTTATGTAAAAACCGTAATTTGTTCTCATGGGTGTTTTACTCGCGCAGTGATGGAGTAAGCGAAGGGCAATTCTATCAAGTTTTACTCTATGAGTTGGATGCAATTCGAAAGGTAATAACTTTTGTGTATAGCTTGAACTTAACCTGCCAAAATGTCATACATAATTTATTTTTGGAACCGGGTTTTTGTTTGTTTAGGCTTGTGCATCGCTTGAACCAAATTATCAGCCACCGGTGACATTCATCGTTGTACAGAAGCGTCACCACACCCGTTTGTTTGCTAATAATCACCGAGACAAAAGCAGTACTGACCGAAGTGGAAATATATTACCAGGTAAGTTCTTGAAAACGGTTGAAGGAAGATCAAAACAGAAATACCTAACTAACTGTTTCTTTGCCGACTTTTTTCAGGTACTGTAGTTGACACCAAAATATGTCATCCAACTGAATTCGACTTCTACCTTTGTAGCCATGCGGGTATTCAGGTACGAAACGACTACTGAAATATCCAAAATTACGATCTTTTTCTCTAACTACACAGAAAAAAAATGAAAGTTTTTCGTGTTTATTGTCTGATTTAGGGAACAAGCAGGCCTGCACATTACCATGTTCTTTGGGACGAGAACAATTTCACAGCTGATGGTATTCAATCTTTGACTAATAATCTCTGTTATACCTATGCGCGATGCACCAGATCGGTTTCTATTGGTAAATAACAGTTTCTTTTTCTTCTTCTTCTTCCTTGAACCCTAAAATAAAACAAAATGTGAAATCCTTATGTTCTTTGTTTTCGCTGTTGTATAGTTCCTCCGGCATATTATGCGCATCTTGCAGCATTTCGAGCACGTTTCTACATGGAACCAGAGATAATGCAAGACAACGGATCACCCGGAAAAAAGAACACGAAAACTACAACTGTCGGAGACTCAGGTGTGAAGCCTTTACCAGCTTTGAAGGAGAATGTGAAGAGAGTAATGTTCTACTGCTAAAAAACAGCCAACATCCCTAAAAGAAGTAAAATTTTAATAAGTAGTTTCATCGTATCGTTGTAGTTCGGCTTTTAGATTTGCCAATGTTTTTCTTGTTCTGTAAATTTTGTTGGTTTGGTATTAGGAATTAGGGTATCATTAGGGTTTTTCTAAAGTTGTACTTTAGCTGATGATAACGTTGATGCAAATGGCTTTGTTAAAACCTCCGCTTCTACAGTGTCTCTTTAACCTTAAGACTGGTTTAGTGTAAAGGAGAAGTGGAGAATGTAGTTCTCTTACAGTTTCGTGGGAAAAATTGCAAATAAAAACCTTATTAGCCCTAAAAATTTGAAAAAATAAAATTTATTATATATATACTCGAGCCATATTTGGAAAAAGAATATAGTAGAATATACTTTTCAAATTGGGAAAGTGGAAAAAAAAAACCAAAAAATTGAATCTTTCTAGGTAAATATGTTTTGGAAATTTTTTGATCTGTCTCCATGCTTGTTTTGTCTTTGTTCTAAAGTTCTAAACCAATCACTTTGGTATAGGATTTCTCCCTTTGGTTATCCATTGAACCGAACATGAACCGTAAAATCGAAGTAAGTATACCAGTTAGGCATTAACCCTAGCTAAACCGATTCTTCTATTCCGATTCTCACTCGCTTCTTCTTCTTCTCCATTGATTCAATCCCAAGCAAAGCTTCTTCAATCTTCCTCGTAAGTTCTCTTGAATCACTTAATTTACATTTCTTTATTTAGGAGTGATTAAGTGAAACACACCCTAATCACAAACTGTTAGATTTGAAATCGAGTGATTATGCTTAGGAGATTGAACATAGTTATGGAATCGCTGCGTCGCGTTCATAGCAGTGATGTACAAACCCTAGTTTCGGGTGCCATACTCAATCGAACTGTTTTCACAGCCTCAGAATCATTGAATCATAGTGTTCTTGATGAGAGTTGTGTTCTAGCTGAATTATCTTCATTGCTTCCAATTTCATCTACTAAATCCTCATTGGTGAAGGAAGACAATAATAGCTCAAGGAATCAAGTAGCTATTGATTCGTTTTTGTCGCCGGAGGAAAAACTTAGAGGTGTGTTTCTTCAGAAATTGAAAGGGAATTTTGCAATACAGAAGAGTTTGTCTAGTCTTGGTATTGATTTGAGTATTGACATTGTGTCCGATGTTTTGAATCGAGGGAATTTAAGCGGTGAAGCGATGGTTACGTTTTTTAATTGGGCGATTCGTGAGCCGGGTGTGAGTAAAGATGTTGATAGCTATTGTGTGATTCTAAGAGCGTTAGGAAGGAGGAAGTTTTTCTCTTTTATGATGGATGTTTTACGGGGAATGGCGGGTGAAGGTGTTAATCCTGATCTGGAGTGTTTAATCATTGCTATGGATAGCTTTATTAGGGTTCATTATGTGCGTAGAGCGATAGAGTTGTTTGAGGAAAGTGAAGGTTTTGGGGTGAAATGTAGTACTGAGTCTTTCAATGCATTGTTGCGGTGTCTCTGTGAGCGTTCGCATGTGAGTGCTGCTAACTCGGTGTTTAATGCAAAGAAAGGTAATATACCTTTTGACAGTCGTAGTTATAACATTATGATTAGTGGGTGGTCGAAGCTCGGTGAGATTGAAAGAATGGAAAAGGTTTTGAAGGAGATGGTGGAGGATGGAATCGGTCCTGACTGTTTGTCTTACAGCCACCTTATCGAAGGTTTGGGAAGAGCTGGTCGTATCAATGATTCTGTTGAGATCTTTGATAATATCAAACACAAGGATAGTGTTCCAGACGCAAATGTTTACAACGCTATGATCTGTAATTTCATATCTGCTCGAGATTTTGATGAATCTATGAGGTACTACCGAAGGATGGTGGATGAGGAATGTGAACCTAACTTGGAAACCTATTCCAAGCTTGTTTTTGGGCTCATTAAAGGCCGTAAGGTTTCTGATGCGCTTGAGATATTCGAAGAGATGTTGTCAAGAGGGATTCTTCCCACCACAGGACTCATTACCTCTTTCCTCAAGCCGCTTTGCAGCTACGGTCCACCACATGCAGCAATGGTTATTTATCAGAAATCAAGAAAAGCCGGGTGTAGGATATCAGAAAGCGCATATAAGCTGTTGCTTAAACGGCTATCAAGATTTGGAAAATGTGGGATGCTGTTGAACGTGTGGGATGAAATGCAAGAGTGTGGATATCCTTCTGACGTGGAAGTCTACGAGTACATTGTGGATGGTCTTTGTATCATTGGGCATCTGGAGAATGCTGTGCTTGTGATGGAAGAAGCCATGCGCAAAGGGTTTTGTCCAAACCGCTTTGTTTATAGTAGGCTTAGCAGTAAATTAATGACTTCAAACAAAACAGAATTGGCTTATAAGCTGTTTCTGAAGATCAAAAAGGCTCGTGCTACAGAAAATGCTCGCAGATTCTGGCGATCAAATGGATGGCACTTTTGATCTTTATGTTTTGTTGTATGTTCACAAGGAAACTAGAATATGATCCTAGTCTTTGTAGATATGAAAACTTGATGTACATTATCACATCTTTAGTCTATGAAATTGTAATAGAGAACATATATTCAATAGAGATCGCGTTTGCATTCTTATCTTAATTAGTTTTGGTTGGTGGCTTATACCCAAAGGCATACTTGCTCTTTCTAGGTTGCAATAGGGAAATTCATAGAGTGTTCTGAATGGAGGCAGTAATTAGGAAATGGCAGCAGAAGTATAGAAAAGGAAAGGAGGAGATGGAAAAGTGGGAGGCACTTCAAGTTCGATGGGTTTCCCTCTTCAGGAACGCTTCTTCTATCATTCAGAGATTACAGGTAGCCTGAATTTTTGTGTTTTTTCTTGTCCGAAATTTCAAAACTGTATGTGTGATTTTTTGGTTTGAGAATAGGAAATGCAAAATCATGGGAGCTATGGAGCTTTGAGATGCCTGAAAGGGATTGAAGATGCGGTTGTGCAACAACAGATGGGTCAACTGGAGTCTCTACTGCGTTCCATGAAAAACGTTATGTAAGTATATGTAGGAAAGAAAGGTGTTACTTTAGAATGTTGCTGACATGAGAGTTTAGATTTCTAGTAGTAAGTAAACATAGTTTTTTTTTTTTTTTTTTTTGAATCTAATGTTAAATTATATTCAAAAGAAAAAATATACGTTTTTACAACTAGTGCATCGTTCTTTGAAATAAATCGGCTGAAAAAAATAAAATTAGGGAATTTATAAGTAAGTAAACATTGTTGAAATGTATAATATATGGGTGATGATATCAGGGAGGAATTCTGGGGCTGTGTTTTGACATTTGAGAAGCTACATAGAGACGGTTTGCAGTTACTCGAAGTTGAATCGAGCAAGAGGCGAGTAGAGGAACGAATTGGAGTAAAACCTTGCATTGCTGATTGCTTGGAGGGACTTTCTATTCTTTATGACATGCATCAATCAGAGTAAGCAAACGTTATCTGCTTGTTATTTAGTTATAATCATCAGTTTTTAACCTTTTGTGCTTTAAAAATCTCGCAGATACCATCTTAAATCTTCAATTCTTTCGGCACTTTCATGTCTTATCCTGAAACCAAGGTACTGAGAATATTGCCTTGTTCAAACTTTGGCAAGTTTATAAAATTGTTCTTATGTTCTTGTCTACTGTTGTATAGTCCTGGTGATCTAAACGCGCTACAATACTTCGTGGTTGATCAGCCGAATATCCCAAAAGAAGAAGGTATCACATTGACAAAAACTCACATTCTTCTTCGATTGTTATGAATAAATGAAAATGTTTGTACATTACTTAAAGGTAAATCTTTCTAAAGGTCTGAGTCTGATTTTAGCTTCTGTATGATGTCTGCTGTGCAGTGCAACACATTTTCGATGTCATATTCGCGGAAGAGATCAAATGATGTGAAGAGGAACTGTTTTTGTTTTGAGTTGCAAAAAGATAGTTGTTTCGTAAAAAGCAACTTATCTTTCGGAAACGCTATAAAAATGTGACGACTATCTTAAGAGAATTTTCATAAATGATATTTGTGATATTTTAAGCATGTATTAGAGCGAAAGAGAGAAAAAATTGTAGTTTTCTAATTTTTTTTTTATCAGAATACTCTAAAATAATATAACTCCCTAACATTTTAAGCATCTCTTCTTTGTTTCTAATGTTATCTAAAGGTTGAATATGAATCTAAATCTCAATATTTGAAATATTATAATTTTTACATAAAATATATTACATAAAATATTGTATAATTACTTCATCAGCAAAACAAGTCATTAAGATTTTGATGCAAAAAAAAAAAAACAATAATGTTGCATGGAAACGAAAACGGTTATGCATTTGAAAACGAAAATATTTTACATATACTCAATAAAATAAAACATCAAACATCAAAACCATATTAAATAAATGAATGTCTGAAACAACACGCATCCAAATCTTAAATATTAAACAATTTAACTAAAAAATAAAGATTAAAACGCTTCAATTCGAAGATTTGGACCATCATCTTCATTCTCACTTTCATCATCTCTATCTAACAAAATTGCCTCAAAATATCAGTGATTATATCATATATCCTTATCTATTTGTATATCAAATTAATTAGGTTTTTAAGGTACAAAAGTAATGCTACAATTTATTGAAATATAATAATTAAAAACTTATATGACTTAAATTCGTCAAGTTTTCTTCAACTTTCTATTTGGTTAAACGATGTGACCAAAATAAAAATAAAAGATCACTGAATTCTTTTTTCGGTAGGAAATGAAAAAAATAAAAATAAAAGATCACTGAATTGATTTACGTTTTCCTTGATTAATAAGTAAAAATTTGATTTCGGTTGCTCAGAAAATCATAAACAAATCATGAAACAAAAACTTATTTATTTATTGATTTAAGAAACGCAAACAGAGAAACAATAGTCTAGTCTCATGGTTCCACAGTTTCACAAAACTCGACATCCTTTCCAAATCCCACCTCAAACATGTACATAAACGTAATAGAGAGAGAGAACACTGTGCTGTGAATATTGTCTCAATGTCACTCAAACATGTAACGAAGGAGAGGGGACAAGACAAGAGGAAGATGCAGCTTATGATTTTTGTATGATTCCGGTTTAGATATGACCGGCCCAATTTTGGGAGCTATCGACTCTAGGCATTTTGGTACCCTCTCTCTTAGTCTCAGCGTCAACCTTGAAAGTTGCACCACACACGTCTCCCGAGCTGTCCACTCTCGGCACTGGCTTCAACTCGTTCTTTGGGTGCTCGAAGCTCCTCAGTCCTCCAGACGACGTAAAGAAGCAACCTTCAAACACCCAAAAACATGTAAATCATTTAATAAATTGCTTTACAACAATCACACAAACCGATCAAAGCCTAATTGTATCTCTATATACATTGTAGCAATTGATTGCAAATAAAGCATTCAGCATCAATCCATACCGATCTTTCTGATGGGTAAGTTCAAAAGATATGGAGTAAAAATTGTTACCTTTAGGAAAAGGACCATAAGATTTAGCGCAACCTTTCTTCATCATCTCAGTGTTATCAGAAAGAACAAGATGCCCTTCGGCATCGTTACCCCAAAAGAACGGCACACTTCCATCTGCGTCCTGCACATTGACAACAAACAAATAACTTAAACATCGAGATCAGGAATGTCATTATATATGTGGTAAACAATGTACAAGAACAGTGCTATGACTTACAGCAGCAGCGAAGACGGTTTTCTTGGTGCTATCGAAGAGGATAAATGCAAACTTTCCATGGAAATCTCTGACAACTTTGTCCACAGGGTAAGGACCTCGATCACGTAACGTCCTGTAAGCCTCAATCACAATGATGGCCTCGTTTGTGATTTTGTTCAAACCATACTGCTGCTTCAGAAACGGTAGGTTCTCAATGTGTCCTTGGAAGAGACAGAAAATGTCATCCACCACCGCAAATAATCTGTCAAAATTCAAAAGAAACCAAATTACAAAATCAAGAACCACAAATTACTCAAAACCAGTGTAGATCTTTTCAATCATCTTAAATCGACAACAAAGAGAGTTTATAGACTCTATAGTTCCGGATTCTTCCAATAGCTCAACAACAATACTATCATCATCATCATCATCATCATCTAGTAATGTATGTAGAATCTCTAGTCCCAGATTCAACCAAAAATCACTAGCTACTGTTATCATCATCATCAACTAATGTAGTGTGAAAAATTTCTAGTTACTGTTCATCATCATCATCATCATCAAGCTTAGTACCAACACAAGCAAACCAAAAATCATAAATCCTAGATCGCAAGACAAACAAAGTCAATCCAAGTAAATCTTCAGCAAAATAGCGAATAACTCGACCATTATCGCAGATCAAATCGATTAGATTCCAGAAACCAACGAAATCAAAACCGAAACAATGGAGATTCAAAATCTATCACTTCGAAATCAAAGAAACATCAAAGATTGACTAGATCAAGCAGAGAATCAAAGAGAAGAAGACTAGAAATAAACCTAGGAACACGAGGATCATGATTATCAAGAGAGTAAGCAACAAATCCAGAAGATCCGAAGTTAAGCGTGACGGAGTTAGGATTCACGGAAGCGAAATGAGTCGCGAGAGATCCATCTTTCAAAGCGAAAGCAGACTCAGACGAGTGTGGACTTTGTAAAGCTTCAGGGCTATTCGCCACCGTCTTCTCAAACACAGCGAGCATTTTTCTCAGTGATGATTTTCCGGGAAAATAAAAATTTGCAGAAAGAAGAAAAAATGAGAAATTGATGAGGAAAAAAGTGAGAAAGACCGGGAAGGCTATAAAGGAATCTTTGTAGGATATATGAGATTACGATTTTACCCTTCGGTTATGGACACGTGTCGTGATTCAAGAGGATAAGGTAGTTTTGGATATTTCTTTCTCATTTTGTGATCAATGAGGTTAATAAAAATAGCAAATGGAGTTAATTAGATGGATAATGATATCTTTAAACGGAATCAAAATTATCTGATTTCAAGTTTTTAAATTTTGATAATTGGATAAATAGTAACGCAATTTATAGCAATGTTACTAGTAATTTTGGAATGTAATAACTATTTTTATGATTAAAAAAATTTTAAATTTAGTCATTAAAAATAGTAGACGTGTAAAATATGACTTAATTACGTAATTACATTCATTGCACATGCCGTATATTTTTGGTAGTGTAATATTAAATAGACCTACAATTTTAAAAACATATCTGGAAATATTTTCAAATTAGTGTTTCATAATGTTTGTGTATATATTAGGTGAATTTGATAATGCAGTATTTATTACAAAGTTGTCGCGTAATTAGTGAAAAGTTCCTAAGATAGAGGAATTAATTTATTTAGTAACGTATAATAGAAAAGCTTTATTTGGGGGGAGAATCAAATGGTACAAATGAGGATAAGATTTATAAAAATAAAGTCATGAAAATGACGTGGCGAGTACGTGCACTCGATTATTCTTTAATTATTGTTTTTTTTAAAAAACAAATTAAATCGAGGAAAGTCACATGGGAGATCAGAAAAGCCAACATCTCGTAAATATAAAGTCAATCCAACGGTTAGATTCGATCGAAACGTATAACCGACTAAATTGAATTATATTTTTTTCGTATTTAGTTGTTTTTAAATTTGACAGCATAGCTATGTATCTGTAACAATATTAGTTTTCAAGACAAATGAGAAAATGTGAGAAGAAAAAAAATGTGGTCAACAAATGTAAATACTTTAAGGTTAGAACTTAGAAGAAATAAAAAAATGTTGATAACGTCTTTGAACAATCAATGGAGTGAAATGTGGCCGAGTTACTCATTTTGTTAATAATTGTCTAGGCCCTATATTTCGTTGGGCTTTTAGTTTGGCCCAAATTATTTGACTTTAAGCTGACATATCTCAAAATGGTTCCAAAGTAAAAAGTCTTCTTTCGGTTTCATGATTTGGATTTTGCGAAACTATGTGGATGCAGGAGTAATCTTTAGGATCATAGGATTGATTCTCAACTTTGTTTCGCTATAGATTGAATGGTGCAGATATAGTTTCCAAAGTTGGTAGTCGGTTGACTTTAACTACTTACTGGTGTTACTAGAAATTTCTATAGTAATATGCTTCTTAAAAAGCAAGAAATTGTTATGTTGTTGGTATTTAGGTTAATTTGCCAAGGTAATAGTTTCAGGGGAGATATAGGTGGACATGACCAAATCTGGAATTTGCAAGAACTTGTTTATTTGGAACTCTGGGTTGTACTGTAAAAAGCAATAAAATAATTGAAAGTTGTTAGACTGATAACATTTAAAAATAAGGAATCCACTGCGTTGAATGGTCTAGAAAAAATCATTGATGTAATTTAAGAGGTGATTGGTAAAGAATATGTTGTCAAATAAGCGATTTGAAATGCTACTAGAGCATCCTCTCTAGATGTAACAAAGATATAGGTTTTACGAAAATCATTAGAAGCATAGGGGTACCATACTTCAGGTGTTCGAAATATTATGGCGTTATCTCTACTAGTTTGATTGTCGACACACTGTTTGCCCCCATTGATTTTAGTTTAGTTACTTATGATTTACAAAATCTTTTCTATCTATATATATGTCTCTTTTGCTTTATAGGTCATGTTAACATACATTTGGAATGAGGAAGTGTCATACTTGTATGCCCTACGAAAGGGTGCAACAAGCTCCTCAATCCTTACGTTCTGAATGGTCTCTCCACTAGGACTCGAACAAGGTTCACAAAGAGGATACTCCAAGACTTCATCTCAAAGGTGGCGAATCCGCATCCATTTCTCCATCTAAAAAATGATCTTTTGATACATTGGTTTTAAATATTGTTGATATGTGAAAAAGACTTGATTAAATGATATGATGTTTTTAATGATCTTTTGATGTATTGTGGATAACAACAAGTCACAAAAAAAAAACTAAAAACGAACATAATATTTTGAAACTATGACTGGTCATGAAATTTTATTTTGTTTCAAAACTTAGTTTATCAGTATTAGTATATTTATGAGTGAATAATCTAGAGGTCGGAGCCGTGTTTAGGTTAAAAGAGAACGAGTATAAAAAGTACAAACTTTTTCAATATTTTTTTGAAATATATACATATAATATTGTGCTAAGTGTCTGGACTGCAAAGATTCTCTTTCGCATACAAAATAATTTAGAAGAATAGTAGATATCTTAAATATTCCATAATACATATTAGTGATTTGTATATATCTTGTTATGATTGCAATAGTTAAAAAATTAGGTTAAATGACATTCATTTATTGTGCCTCAATTTTTATGAGAGTAAATACCATTATTCATATCTTAAACTCTCATCAATCTATCATGATATTAGAACAGATTATGCTCGAGTTTTGATATGATGATCAAACTCATTTCTTAATAATTGAGGGTTTGAGACAAAAACCTTATTTTTAACATGTCAAACACAACCCCTATTAAGTGTTATTCTTAACACGATCATCATATTCAATATACTATCCAATATTTTCCATGGCTGCTGAGTAAGATCAAATAAATCATATCTATAACAATAGTTCGTAGCTAATATACTTAGAAATTCTCAATTATAACTACAACAGTCCATAACTACTACAACTTAGGTGTGGGTTTTATCTAGTGCAGAATTATACAATTATCTAAGAACTGAATTTTGAATGTTATACAATTTTACTTTGACATTCTTTTGAATTAGTGCTTTAAAATATGTATTTTTAGGTATGTGGTGTGACTGAATTGATGATATAAAAAAATGCAGAATATATCCACTAGATTTTGACTACAATGTGCCAGAAAAAGCATTTGACGTTCAATGTTAGTTTTATATATCCGACCATACAATTTCCTACCCCAAAAATTAGTTTAAAATTAAAATTTATAAATATGCATATGTGAGTTGCAAACGACCAAAAAATTTATATTAAAATATGCATTTTATCTTCGCGTCATAACTCATATTAAAATTTGAAACTATGCATATGTGAGTTGTAGACTACCAAAATTTATTTCAAAATAGTTATGATGTTGTCACTAAGTTCAAATTTGGTAATTTACTGCGAAAAATGGTAGATGACAAATTGGAAGAAAAAAAAACTCCCATAATATACTTTAGTGTATTATATAAAATGTTCCCCTAAATCACACATCTCCTCACTCAACACGAAACCCTTCCAAATTCCTTCACTATCCATTTCCATTTCATCTCCTTCTTGTCCTTGATCCTCCATTGAAGCTATGTGAAGCTCATCACCATAACTAAAAACACCTCCAAATTGATCACCGATGTCATCACCATACTCTTCCGGCTCAGCTTTAACAAACGTATCATGATCCTCAACACCATGGCTTGAGATAACCTCTTGTCTTTGCTCTTGATTCTTCATTCCTTGCAGCTTACGTTTCCTTAAGCTCTGCAAAAAACTCGGTTTCTTAATCTTCTTTAGCAAGAAATTCATCATCATTTCTTGTTTCACTTCTGTGACTTTCAGTTTCTCTTCCATCAAATGAAGATATGTCTTCATGCTTTCTTGTTTTCGTCTCAGTCTCACTAGTTCTAGTTCTAAAGCCACTCTGTCTCTTCTCAGCTCATGGATCTCTCCTTCTAGTCGAAATCTACCGCCTTCTAGCGACCGCGTTTGCGTTTGAGATGATGTCTTTCTTCTCTTGATGTTCTTAAGAAGATGTCTTTCTCCCTTTAGAAAATACTCATTTGCAAACTCCCATCTCTCTGTATCAATCTTCTTAAACCCCTACATATCATTAAACAAAGATTTAATTTTAATGAAGATCCAAAGAACCAAGACAAATATTCGAAGAAGTTACATACATAAGTATTGAGTTGTCTAACAAAGCTGGAGAAATTTTTGTGCTTAAAGCATCTAGGGAGACAAATTAGGGCAAAAGTCTCTGGTTCCCAGACAATGAAGCTGTTGTTGTCTCTGCTCCATGAAACTATGTTGTTTGTGCTTGAATCCTCCACTATGTTGTAGGTTTTTGTCAAGAAAGCCGTTGGTTCTGTTTCTTTGAGACCCTCTAATGGAAGTGGAAGGTTATATTCCATTTTATAAACCAAAAAAAAAAGAGAGAGAGGAGAGATCTGTTTTGGTGAATAGCTGAAGCTTGAGGATGCTTTTATGGTGTCTATATTTTTGGGGTTTTAGGTCTTTTGGATAGAAATGTTTTGCTTTTGAGTGTTTTGGATAAGTATATTTTATTAGTTAACTTTGATGTGGACAAAGATGATTTGCTATAAATGGAAATTGAGAGATCATAGTGGCATATATTCATTGGAAGGTGCTAACTTTTGTGTTTTTGTCTTCAATCCAAATAAGTTTTTCATGAATATAAAAAAATCTATCATTACAAATTTAGTGACTATGCTCCAACGTTTATAAGCTTCGCTTTGGCACCTGACACGTTGTGGTGAATGTAATAGATACGTTTCGTGGTTTGTTGGTTTATTTTTAAAGTCAGAATGATGGGATTTTTGGTGGAACCCTTTGAAAGATTTGTGTAGAAAAAACAGAATCCTTTGAAAGTTTGACTGATATACCATTGGCGCACATCCGACAACTGTCAATATGGATACTATGGAGATTATGGAAGAGTGAAAATACTCTAGTCTTCCAACACAAACACCAACCATGGAGTCAAAACGGTGCGTTTGGCAAAGAATGATGCTAGTGAATGGATGAATGCAGAGGAATGAATACATGAGCAACTACTAGATGAATGTAAACAAGATTTGATCAGGGAAATTCAGTATTGGGGAACAAGATTTGAAGATCTCGAACATCATTGGACATGAAGATTACAGAACCAAGTTGAGATTATCTTGCAAAGTCAGTGTTGCCACAAGATTTAAGCAATATAATCGATGTTATAAAAAAAGCATATGTATCGTAAAAGTATGTTACAAGAACAAACTATTCAGAAGGGGGCTCTGTTTTTACTGTTTAGGATTATACAATACACACACATACACAACTTTTTAATGTGCTTTAATGGTTTCTCCAAACTTGTGGGTTAAGCTGTTTATATACTTTTGCCTAACCGGATGTTCTTCCTGTGGCCGGTTATATGGTGTCCACACCGGTTCTCCCACGAACAGCCTCATTAGCTACAAAACCAAACCACCATTTATCACAATCCAACAATCAAATCTTTTAACATAAGATGTATTGCGTATTCGTGTACACTAATACAGAGATCGATATTGGCTTTTTGTACCTTGATGTAGTTGCTGGTGTCGAGTGTGAACCGGTGGTAGATTCCGGCGGGAAGGATGATAAGATCACCCGGTTGCATCCAGATACGGATCCAACGGTCATCCTTGTCCCTAACATCAAAGTAGCCACTTCCCGCTAGACAGTACCGAATCTCCTCGTCCTTGTGAATGTGTTCTGTGAAAAAGTTCTTCAACTTCTCTTCGTAGTTGCTGACTTTCTCGGGACACAGATCCAACAAATCCTAAAATGAAGATTAATTAAAGCAAACGTTTTGCTTGTGAGAAATTAATCTCTAGCTCATGAAGTTACAATACTAAAACACCATACAAATGTTCCTTTATCCAAGATTATAATCCTACTGTCCAATGATATTTGTTTTTGTTTTTTCATGAGATTAACATGCAGAGATAACAAGTAAAGGAACTGAAACATCAATAGCCACTTATGGTGAGCATGAGTTAAAAAATGGTGATCCGAAAGACATAATCCACAGCAAATCCTATACTCATAAACCTTCTTTCTTCATAAACTGGTTTTGTAAGTTTTGAGTACTACACTCATTATATAGTCCTACACTCCTACTGTCCTAGTATCTGTCAGGTTCAATCGCTAATCTCAACGATATGCAACAAGTAAAAAAACCGAAACATTCAATTGCCATTTATAATGAGCATGAGTGATCTGATACGAGACTACGGTTAGGTTGATTAGGTCTCCATTGATTAATAAGAAAAACAAGTTCCAAGAATTAACCTTAATCTCCAAGAGAGCTTAGGGTTAAGAGGAAGCTAGCTTAAATCATTCTCTATTTTCACATTAACAAAGGCTACGGTTACGAGATCGAAATTGAAATCTTTGGCTTGTATCATGATCCTAAGTCAAAAACGGTGATTAGAAGTAGATTATCCACATACCATGTAATCGTAACCCCTTTCTTCTCTAATCTTGCCAAGTTCAGGATCATTTTCGTAGTTCTCAGGGTTCAACTTCCAGTACAACACTCCCAACTCTACAAACACACAAAACCATGATTCACTTCAATCAATAAAGACAGAAAGAAGACAACAAAAAGAAAAAATTTCAAACCGGACATAAACTACAACATCATATACAAACACCAAATTGCAGTTTTTCATGGTTGCAAAGTAAGAGTAATTTAAGCTAGAGATGTGAAAAAACCTGCCAAGTAATCCAACGAGACGAGCTCTTTAGGGTTACGATGATGAGGAAGTCTCTGATCTTCATTGCTATCGTCCATAAACCACGCCTGCATCAATCATCACTTAAGCCTCAGAAAAACGATCATCACTATATTACACGAATCCATAACCATAAGATTCCAGAAAATACGCGACGAAATCAAAATCAAGAACCTATGAATCAGAATCAAAATCAAATTTAAGTCACCTCGAGAGCCATTAGTGATCTTCGTTGTGTGAATGCTTTTCGATTTCAGACTCATCAGAGAGTGAGTCATGAAGATCAATCATATAAAGGGCTAAGAGCTTATTTAGCCACGTGTACGGTTGATTCTAATTTATTTTTTTATTTTTTTTGGTTTTCTCCTAGATTTTTATTAATTCTGGTTCCAAAATTCTAATAATTAAAAAATCTTTCCTTTTATCTTTTAACAACCGTTTTTGAGCCACAATAAGATCAAACATTGCTTCGTTTTTATGATTTTATCTTTTCTGAGGTTCATATTTTTCCATCTGACTTGAACTTAGAATAGTAGAACTAGAATGATCTATATTCAGATATAAATTTCATATTTGAAAATAGTAGGGGAAAAAATCCAAAATCTTGTATTTCTTATTGGCATAGGTCTATTTAATTTGGGACGTGTAATAGAAAACTAAAGTCTCGAATGTTATTTATCATCAGGTCATTGTTTTTTTTTTAATTAAACAAGAGAGAAAAAGTCCAGTAAAAAAGCTACAAAGCCCAGTCCTTAGACCTGCAATTTGTTTTTTCTCTAATTTTAAATTAGAAACTGAAAATATCCAATACTTCTTACTGAAATACACAATACTTTTTACAAACAAAATTAAATTCTCCAATCAGTTGTTATTTTTTTGCATTTAAATATTTTTAAAAACTCCAAAACAATCTCACATATGGGGTGTGACTTCGTTTTAACGGAGTAATAAATAGAAATTCAAAAACATAAAAGAAAATTAGAGATGAATGGGAAAAGTGTTGTTTTTTTTCGGTCCGTACAACGTTTAGTACTCATTTTTACCCAAATATTTTAAAAATTATACCCTAATTATCAATTTTTTGCATAATTTAGAATCGTCGTTTACGGATGTTAGTCAACCGTTACGGATGATGATTCACGCTTTGAAAACGTGATTCCGCTATTTTTTACTTATTCATCAAGTTTTCACGGTTTCATATTTTGAGAAGTAATTCCGCTATATATCACTAGCGTGTTAAAAATATAGCTAGAAGAAGCAAAACAGATTAATTTACAAACACTAATTTTTCATCATAATTGTTATTAGAAATCTTTGTCCAGTTCAATTTGCTTTTCTAATAACTATTAGTTATTTTTTATTGTGCTATTTATTTGATATACGATTCGAATATAAAATTTAGATGAAACAGAAAAAATTAAAAATTCATATGTATTGGGCGGAATACATTTTGGGGTTTCTTTTTTCAATAAAGTTAAGGTTTCTTTGTTAGAGTAACGTAATTTTGGAGATAATATGCATGACATTTTCGTAAAAACCACATGTTTTAAACACGCATTTATAAATACGATATTATGTAAATTTAATGTAAATTTAAGAGAGACAAATGAGCCTTTTCTTCTTTGGGACTGCGATGTATCTCTATGCATCATGCTGGTTATAAGTGTAGCATCAATGCTCATTTTCAATATCATCTATCTTTTTCAACAGATTTTTTAGACTAGTTTGTTCTAAGAAGATAGTAAGCATCTAACAGAATAAACTCAATATCCAACTTGTTTATCACTATTTGAGCGTTAACCACATCACATGAACCATAAACCCAGCATATAACATAGTTTTCATGATCTTTTATATAACCCAGTTTCTGTTCTATAATTTTTTTCCCGCAAAAAAAAAAGATATAATCTTCAAGAAATTAGATACCAAAAAAAAAGCAATTAAATAATCCGTAAAAGCTGGAAAAGGTTATAACTCAAGAAGTGAAGTCTTACCGTTTTCGTTTTCCATATGAAGTCAATGAAACCATGATTATCCAAAATATATTAGAACAGATTATGCTCGAGTTTTGATCTAACAATCAAACTAATTTTTTTATAGTTGAATGTTTGAGTCAAAAGCCTTATTTTTAATGTGCCATACATGACCTTACTAGATGTTATTTTTAACACGACCATCATATTCAATATAGTCTCAAATATTTTCCATGGCTACTGAATTAGATCAAATAGATCATATTCAAGTCTCAAAACGTCTTAATGACTTATAAAATATCACTTGTCCGTCACAATTACCAATTTTGAAGTAGCGTGTTACAAAAAAAATGACGAGTATCTAAAAAAGATGACGATAGAGATTCCAAAAAAATTGAAATCCGACGAAATAAAGAGAGAAATCTTTTACAAATTGAGAAAGAGAGAATCTATCAATATGGAGAGAGCTTGGTAGCCTAAATTTATCTAGAGACAGAAAGAATGGTGACATAAAATTTGTTGGAGGGTGGTTGTAGAGGTCCAGAAGAAGAGAGAAATCAAATAGAAAAAAAAAAGTTTTTGGTCACTTCATCTACTTTTCTAACAAATCATTGTAGTTCATGGTTAATTATTTGATTCTTTTCATTACTATGGCTAATTTCTACTTTATCCATTCATATATAACTAGTTTAAGATATGAATTTTAATATCATGAAAAAAAAATCAGAATTAGACATTAAGAGATTCTTACAAACAAAAAATAAATGTCAAGTTAGTTTCTTTATTTTAAATCTTTTTTAACCTCAAAAGAAAAAAAAATTCCATGAACCATTTTTTCTCTGCCTATAATACTATCTCCAACTCATCTCTTTCTCATGAACCCACAAAAAAAAGGGTAAAATACAAAAGAAAAAAATGTCCTCTTCTTCATCAAGAAACGCCTTTGAGGATGGCAAATACAAAACAAATCTCTTAACCTTGGACTCATCATCTCGGTGCTGCAAAATAACACCGCCTTCTCGAGCTTCACCGTCTCCGCCGAAGCAGCTGTTGGTGGCTACGCCGGTGGAGGAAGGAGAATATCCGGTGGTGATGCTCCTCCATGGTTACCTTCTCTACAACACCTTTTATTCTCAGCTTATGTTGCATGTCTCTTCTCATGGCTTCATCGTCATCGCTCCTCAGGTTTAATTTTAATTTAAAAGCACTAAATTAATTCAGGAATTATTTAGCCACTGAGATTTCTGTTTAGTTTTGATTCCAATGTGTATTAGTAATTTAGGGGTCAAATTAAACTAGTGTATAGTTTTTGTTTAATTAGTAAAATGTTATAATTTAGTTTTATGCAAATGGTACCAGCGGAATAGTTAAATCTAGTGTATAATTTATAAGGATTTAGTATTAGTGTATAGTTAGGAAAATATAAATTCGCTACAACCTCGTTCGATTCCATTTTGTGCAAATATTGCATGTGACTACTTGGTCACTTGAGGTTTAGTGTGAATGTTCATGTATATGTAGATCCATGTATTGAGAGATTCTAATTGAATCCAAAATCATAATAAATAGTTAAATACATACATTGAATTGTTAGGACATAGGATTTAGGATTTAACCAAGGTGTATCTATAACTCAGCTGGATGGAACACATGATGCCACGTTTAATTTAGTTTTTTTTTTGTTCTGAAACTTTTCTTTTATTATTGTTTGGCTCTTATAAGAACCTTAGACAAGAAGAAAAGTAAGAAAAAAGATGCAAATCGATAGGTCCACTTGATGTGTTTATCCTTTTTTGTCTCTAATCATTTGGTACAATTCACTAGAATCTCTCGAATTTTCTAATAATTCATAGTTGTAAATAAAATTTCTTGGATATGTGATGTAACAGCTATATAGTATAGCCGGACCGGACACAATGGACGAGATTAAATCAACGGCGGAGATTATGGATTGGTTATCAGACGGACTTAACCATTTTCTTCCACCGCAAGTAACACCAAACCTATCAAAATTTGTACTCTCCGGCCATAGCCGCGGTGGCAAAACTGCATTCGCAGTGGCCTTAAAGAAATTTGGGTACTCCTCGGATCTAAAGATCTCCACATTGATTGGTATAGATCCAGTCGATGGAACAGGGAAAGGGAAACAAACCCCTCCTCCGGTCCTGACTTATGAACCAAACTCATTTGACCTAGACAAAATACCCATGCTTGTGATTGGTTCGGGGCTCGGTGAAACCGCTCGGAACCCATTGTTCCCACCGTGTGCACCTCCCGGAGTGAACCACCGAGAGTTCTTCCGTGAATGTCAAGGTCCAGCTTGGCATTTCGTCGCAAAGGATTACGGGCATTTGGACATGCTTGATGATGATACAAAAGGAATTAGAGGGAAGAGTTCTTATTGTTTGTGTAAGAATGGTGAAGAGAGAAGACCAATGAGGAGATTTGTTGGTGGACTTGTTGTGTCGTTTTTGAAGGCTTATTTGGAAGGAAATGATCATGAATTAGTTAAGATCAAAGATGGGTGTCACGAAGGTGTTCCCGTTGAAATTCAAGAGTTTGAGGTTATCATGTAAACATAAGTTTTTCTTTAGGGGCTGGTTTTCCTATTTTCAATATTATTAGCTTTTGTTGCTTATGTTGTTACAAACTTATAATGTACTAGTCTTTACTTAAGTGACCTCTTTGCTTATGAAATTAACCCGAGTACATTCACAAGACTACAAGAGTAAACTTTCAAAAACTTTATAAGAAGTCCACACAGTATTCTTTGTATGCTACAATCACCCCGGAAGAAACAAAATCATCAATTCCGGCCGATTTTTCCATCACCGTTGCTTACAAAACGAGAATGTCATGTAATTTACATATTCTTCTAATACAAAGATCTTACTTAAAAACATATTGATATTATATTAGACGGTTTAGACCTATTATCTCTTTTAGCTAGAAAAAGAAAAAGGCACACCAATAAAAATCGATAATACAAATTTGCCCCATTAGTTTCCATTTTCATTGTGACTTTACCCCAAGACTATACCTTAATTCAACATTTATGTTTCCTCTCAGAAGCAATGGAAAGAAGCATGGAAACACCTTGTGTCCAAAGATCATATTCCCTTTGGCTTTTGCACTCGAATTCAATCACTCTTTTCTCCGGCGTCTTTAGTCCAAAATACCTCAAATTCTCTCCGCCTTCGAGCAATTCCCGGCCAGGCCACGCCGGTAATCCCTTGACCAATTCCACCACCACATCTATAAAGATCAATACATCAAAAATTCAGCGACTTAGAA